TTCCTGAGATCTTGGGGCCAGTGAGACCCGTCCTTTCACTTCTCCCTTCTCTCCAGCTAACACCCTCCGCACCGCATCATCGCTGGAGAGCTTGTCATCCAAACGTAAGGAAATGAGGTGTTAGGTGAAATGTGATCAGCAGACGGAACAGAGTATCATCATTCAAAGACAGCTCATGAGACAGATTCAAAAAATGAAATATGTTTTGAAAATGTTATCTATTACATACAAAGCACAGGATAACTTGATAACTATTACTTTCAGCACTTAGGTCATTAACAGTAAAGTCCACCCAAGCTAAATGAATTCTGGTTCCCATCTACCCAAGCTGTCAAAAGTGAATGTGTGTGTTCAAGGTCAATAAAGCTGACCCACGCAACTCTACAAATACCTTAAACTTCTAATGGGATCATAGAATCCCAGCCGTAAGTGCCTTAAGGTTTTATCTAACCACCTCATACCTATTAGGATGGTTGCTCCTAAAAAAACAGAAAACAACAAGCATTAACAATGATGTGGAGAAATTAAAACTCTCATGCATTAATGTAAACTGACGCTGCCATCATGGAAAACAGTATAACAGTTCCTCAAAAAATTAGGCACAGATTTACCATATGACCCAATAATTCCCCTTCTAGGTATTTATCCCCAAAAAAATGGAAAACAGTGTCTTGAAGAGATACTTGGATACCCATGTTCATAGCGGCATTATTCATAATAGGTAAAATGTGGGTGCAAACTGTACCATTGACAGATGAGTGGATAAACAAAATACAATGGATCCACTACAATGGAATATCATTCAGCCTTAAAAAGGGACGGAATTCTGACACATGCCACAACATGAGTAAACCTGGAGAACTCGGACTGCACATAAAGTGAAATTAAGTGAAATATATTAAGTAAAATAAGCCAGTCAAAAAAAAAAAAATACTCCATGACTCTACTCATCTGAGGTCCCCCAGGTTAGTCAGATTCATAGAGACAGAAAACAGAATGGAGGTTGTCAGGGACCGGGGGCTGGGCGAAGAAGAAGTGAGTGTTTCATGGGGACAGAGTCTGTTTTGCAAGATGAAGAGTCCTGGAGATGGAAGCAGTGATGGCTGCACAACTTGATGAATGAATTTCCCACCACTGAAGTGTACACTTCAACATGGTTATGATGATACATTTTATGTTATGTGGGTTTTAACACAATAATAAAATTATGGGGGGGAAATCTGATCTAATTCAAGCCCTGTCAAATGCAAAATTATCCCTGACAGCCATCCAGAGTCTATGACATCTCCAGTCAGGAGTCCCACTCACTCACACACTCATTCCACAAGCACACGCAAAGTGACTGCCACGTGCCAGGCTCCATGGGCCAATGACTCACCATGTACTGGGGACACAGACAGACACAACAATGAAACAACAGCCTGTAGGAAGCCTACAGGGGCACCCAAGTCAGCCTGGGAGGGAGGAGAGGCCTGGGCTCAAGGCGGCGCTCACAGGCGCCACACTGTTGCTCGGTGAGGCTGGAGGAGGAAGGCAGCTCAGGCACTAAGAAGCCAGCAGGCACCAGGGCACGAGGCCGACGGGAGACAGCGGGCCAGGGCTGAATGCCAGGGTGCGTGTGACTGGAGTGGAGGGCTCGGGTGTGGGGAATGACAGAAGGACCTGAGGGGAAAAGTAGCAGCAGGTCTCCAGGAGCCTCACAAGCCATGCCATGGAGCTGGCCCAGCCCCAAGGCCACTGGAAGCCAGAGAAGATTCAGCAGAGGAGACAGGAGTCAGATGTGCTTTTTAGAAAGACAAGCAACATAAAGGACCCGGGAAGGGGATCTGGGGAGCCTGGGGACAGAGGCCAGTGTACCAGCAAAATCTGCTTCCAAGTCTTTAAGCTTGCATGCTGGACCTGCACTAGGGCGAGGCCTCCCAGGAGTCGGCTGGACACCCCTACATACCTCCACGACCCACTGCTGTTGAGGGGGTTGAAACCCACCTCTTCCCATGTGCATTACATTTAAGATTAGCCCCCAGCCAACCACCCGCTAGGTATGTGGAAAACTGTATTAACTGTACTCTCAGTACAAGCCCAACCTGCTCCTCCATGGGCGACTACTTGGCATTCAAAAGAAAGACGCTGGGGGAAGACCTTCTCCAATGTTCGGACAAACATGGCCCAGGCTGGACCTAACCAGAGAAGCCTGAGGCCTGACACCCAAGTTTCCAGCCCACTGTGACAAGCTCGGGCAAGAACAAATCTACTCCCTGTACAACTGAAACAGCAACTGGGAGAGAGAGAGCAAAGAAGAGCAACAGGTAAGCAGACACCACAGGCTGGAGATGCAGGAAGAGAACAGAGACCTCCATAAGACCCAGGGAAGAAAAAAAGCATTCCTGCGACACCCCAGCCCTGGCTGGAAGCAGCTACCTGTCCTCAACGGAGCTCCAAAAAAGAGAAAGCCAGAGGGCACGGAAGCCTGGGGCTGCAGCCTACAGCTGCCAACTGGGCACAGAGTGCCTGCGGCGTTCCCGATTTTATATTGAAAGCTTGCAGAACTTATGTATAACAAACAAACACTTATTTGTTTTATTATTCGGTTTTAAATTACTCCTCCTGTATCTCTAGGGCTCCAGAAGGGGTAGGATCAGATTCGAAGCACAGCGTTTGACAGACACCACTGAAAGTCCTTCCCTAGACCGTCCACACATTTGAGTCCCACGCCCCCGACTGCTTTTTACTCAGGCACTAAGTTCAAAATGCCAGGACAGCGGTAGCAGTACCTTGTTGAGACAGCATTTTCCAATTATCTGGAGCAGCTCATTTGTTCTCTCAGGTTCATGCCCGGCCACAATTCGGGCTGGTTTGGCCAACAGTGGCTCTCCTGAAACCATTACAACCACATCTATGGCTTTCTGCAGGAAGCTGATTTTTGCATCTTTATCCTGAAATATTTCCATTGAAAATACAAATATTATGATACTTTGAAGAGTTTGCATTATCTTATGTTCAACAGGCACAGGATAGTTTCTATTTACATACAAAGCTATTTTTAGATATATAACAAATCTAGAAATACTGATCTTTACTGACAAAACAAAATCAATTCAGTAAAACCTTTAATTTAGTTGATGGGCTAGCATTAACCTTTGAAATACCAATTCCATTTTTCAGTGAATAAAACTAGCATGACATGCAGTTGCCACAATGAGAAAATGAAATGAGAAAGGGAATATACATCAATTCATGAATTCACCGGCCTTGTATTCCATCCACGTGCAGCACAGAAACGGCACATACCACACTACCTGGATGATAAAAAGTCCCATCCATTACGCGAGGGGTCGACAGGAGAAGCCGGACTCCAACCTACCTTCACATTATCAGACTTCATCTCGGTGTCTGTGTAGAGGCCCTTCATGAAACCAGTCATTCTAATCACCTTCAAGAGAGAAAAAAGGCCACCACTGTCACCTCACGGACAGCCTCCTCATCAGCCTCATCCACTGAACTCCACACCTGGGAGATGTCAGAAATGACTGGCAGCCCAGACCCATCCACTTACTCAAGAAATACTTGATGTCTATCACACATGTGTACAGGGCAGAAGCCAGCCAGGTCCTTACAGAATTTAGCGTGGCTGTATGGACAGACAGGCAAAGATGACACCATCCAGATACTAAGGTAGCACTTAGGCTTGGTACCTAGTCCACAGTCCAGGAGGGGGAAGGGGTGGCAGGAGCCCTTCCTGGAGGAATCACACCTAGATGGGGATCAGAAGGCTTACAGAAGAGTTGGACGCACATGCCAGACGGAAGAAAGTCCGCATGAGGTCGAGTCCTGTGCAAGAGATCCAAAGAAAGGTAGGATGGCAGGAGCCTGAGGCCAGAGAGACACTCGGGGCCTGGTGCAGAGGCCCTGTGAAGCCACTCAGGGACTTGAACTGAGCCCAAGGACCACGAGGAGGACATGGACAATTCTAGAGCAGGAAAGGGCCTGGCCACACAGCATTTTACAAGAATCCTTCAGGTGCAGTGGAGAGAATAGATTCCAAAAGAAAAGGGCCTGGCCACACAGCATTTTACAAGAATCCTTCAGGTGCAGTGGAGGGAATAGATTCCAAAAGAAAAGGAACTTTGGCTGGGCACAGTGGCTCACACCTGTAATCCCAGCACTTTGGGAGGCCAAAGGTGGGCGGATCACTTAAGGTCAGGAGTTCAAGATCAGCCTCAACGTGTTCAATGTGGCAAAACCCCGTCTCTACTAAAAATACAAAAATTAACACCCGGTATAGTGGCATGTGCCTATAGTCCCACCTACTCGGGAGGCTGAGATAGGAGAATAACTTGAACCCAGGAGGTGGAGGTCGCAGTGAGTCGAGATCGTGCCACTGCACTCCAGCCTGGGAGACAGAGAGAGACTCCCTCTAAAAAAAAAAAAAAATTGTGAGCAATAACTGTAATTGTGACAAGAGACATTAATATCACAGGATCCACACTTAATGAAAGGGGTGGTTAGTTTAGCTATAGCTTAAATACTAATATAGTGATTTGAGTATAATATTTAGCACAATAAAGCATTTTCATAAGACCCTTTCCACCTATTATCTGAAAATGCTTTCCAATATGTCAGTCATTCTAGCCTCTTTATCAAGTATGGGACAATTCCTGTACTGATGTTTACACAGGAAGAAAAATGAACTTTGGCATTAGATGAGGAAGTCTCCGGGAGAAGAGCAGACCAGTCATTCCTAATTGGGAGCACACAACTAGTCCCACACCCTAGCCACCTGGCCAAGAAGGCAATCCTTTTTTTTTTTTTTTTTTTTTTTTTTTGAGACAGGGTCTTACTCTGTCACCCCGGCTGGAGTGCCCTGGTGCA